CACCCCCCCCCCCCCGCATGGCATGCCACTTTCACTTTGATCGATTGTCGGATTTTATGGCCGTGTCCAGACTGCACGCCACTTTCACTTCGTTTGATCTCTCTGTTTTATGGTACCATCTGCATAGATTTAGGGCCATTTTATGGCCGTTCGGGGGCGACTCTGCAGTCCGTACGGGCGTTGGCCCGGGATATTTGAATGTGGTTGTGAGCCGCATCTTTTCCCGTTCCAGCGTGGGTTTGATAAAACAGCGGAGCAAATGCTAGATGCGGTTTGGGATCACCAGATAACCTCAGAGGTCCAAACCTGTCCAGATCCACCGTTTACCCAAAGTGCTCCCCCCCTCCGCCGCCGAAATAACAATTGAAGCTGCAAGGAGACTATTGGAAGCCAGTAATGAATGAAGGGAATTCTGAAGGAAGGGACCCCACTAAACTAGTCCTACTAATAAGTTGCCGGTCGAATCTGCGTTTGTCTTTCCCACCGGTGTCCCAGCCTTCTGACTCCGTCTTCAAAAAACCTGTCTACATTTGCTTTCGTTTTCATACTTCAACTGCACAAGTATACTCTCGCATGTCTGCATATGTCTATCGCCCTCTCGTGGCGGCTCCAGTGTAATTGCGCCTCCGCACCGCTTTAAATGAATCTTCTCCAAACATCATTCAAACAAGCATAGAGAAAGACGGCGTCACAGAGGCACGAAACGAATTTAAAAATGCAAATGCAGATTTGACCATTGTGACCTCTTCCTCTTCTGTCTTTTCTCAGCTATATCACAGCCGCACGACTTGGGTGTACAGCATTGAGAATGTCCTCATGTCCCTGTCAGGTGAGTCGGTAGCAGCATTGGGGTGGGGGGTGGAGGAAGGGGCCAGAGATAAGATCATGGTTGAAGCATCAGGAAGTCCTGCGTCATGTGCTGGGAGACCGGCAGAGCATCAAGGTGTAAAAGACAGTGGACTTCCGTGATGGGATATTAGTTTTGATACCAACTTGGTTCTTTGGCTGTCAAGTTACAACCGACTTATGGTGACTACTTAGGGCAGGGGTGTCGAACTCGTTTGTTATGAGGGCTGGATCTGACAGAAATGAGACCTTGTCGGGCCGGGCTGGGCCGGGCCACGTGTGTCATAAAATGTAATGCCAGGTAGCGGAGATACAGATCGAATCTGCATTTGTCTTTCCCACTGGTGTCCCAGCCTTCTGACACCTGTCTTCAAAAAAGCTGTCTACATTTGGTGTCGTTTTCACACCTCAACAGTGCTAGCATACTTTTGCATGTCCACATATGTTTATTGCCCTTTCATGGCGGCTCCACTGTCATTGCACCTCTGCACTGCTTTAAAAGAATCTTCTCCAAACAGCATTCAAACAACCATAGAGAGCGATGGTGTCACAGCAGCACAAAACTAGTTAAAGATGCAAATGTAGATTTGACCCTAAACTGTATAAAGGACACAAACAAAAAGGGTTGGGTTTTTTTTACTTAAAATAAAAACATGCTTAAAACATCAGCACTCTTGCGACATTTTGTTTATTTAACCGTGTCTGATAACTGACACCTCTTGCTCTGAATTATTGCATCAAAATGTCTGTGCTGTTGCAGTCTTGAGTATGCTCTCCAGGTGTGTGTCTGTAAGCTGCAAACCTACGATGACCAGAGGTCATTTCGGGGGGGATCGCGGGGGATCGCAGTTCCCCCAAGTGAGGTACGGGGGCGGGGCACATGACAAAGCCCCGCCACTCCAGGTGTGTGTCTGTAAGCTGCAAACCTACGATGACCAGAGGTCATTTCGGGGGGGATCGCGGGGGATCGCAGTTCCCCCAAGTGAGGTACGGGGGCGGGGCACATGACAAAGCCCC